GAACAGAATAATGATACAAATCAACCGATGTAAAGAAAACACACAATTGTTAAAAAAATTTTGATTTGTATCATTATTCTGTTAAAAAAGTATTAAGGTAAGATGAAAAAAAAATGAATATTTTACAAGATATTTTGTAATTTATATCAAAATATTGGAACTTTCAAACCTTAATAACTCAAAAAGTTCTTAATAATAAAATACTTTATTATAGCGTTTTGGAAAGCTCTCGAGGTCAGCTACAAGAATATGTAATAAAAAATAGGGGCTGCCATTTAAAAAAATTGGTGTGACCTTTATATGACCTTCAAATAATTATTCAAGGTCAAACCAATGTACCATCTTATGGCCCCCTCGAAACCAAACAACTTTTGTCTGAAACTTTTTTCGAAATAATCCATTCCAACCGAGATCTATTATTGTCTCAAGATAAACGCCCCACCCTGTATATTTTGTCTACCTGCACACGAGAAGATGGGCGATTAATATAGGACATCCTGTGTACTAGATACAAGGTACCCGTGTAAATATTTATAACGAGATTAATGGCACGAATTTGACACATCGATTCAACACACATGATTCAATGAGAACTGCTTCACTATTTATGCAAAATGTTTCTTTTTTTATATTAAATGTTGTTCAAGTGGTGAATGTACGTGGTAGACGCGAGACGTGGATAAGAAGGCACACGGACAATAACTCGATAATTTAGAAACCCAAATAATATTCTGATAAATTTTAAATAAATTAATTTATTATTAATTAGCGATATAATAATGAATTTATGCAAATTTTTCTAGTGTTGATACGATACTTAATTGATTTACTTAATTGACCATTTTTTAAGATTTGATTACGCGATCTTAAACAAATATGTAATCTACATGTTATAGTATTTTAAAATTATAATTTAGAAGTAATTACCTATTTCTCAATATACTATATAAATTAGTACTTTTTATTTACAATATTTTTAGTGTTCGTCGGAGAAATTCGTCACTCGCACGAATAAATTTGGAAACTTCGAAGATTCGAAGCTTCGAAGATTTTGAAACTTCAAAGTCAACTTCGAAGCTTCGAATTACTTCGAAGCTTCGAATCTTCGAATATCGAAGCCTTCGAAGGAAATCACCAGCCCTAATCTTTTCCATCTAGATCCGAAATAAGCTTATCGATTATTACGAGAAATTCTAAAAAATTGAAATATAATTATATAAACATAAAATAATTTTATTTCAAAGAAAATTTTGAAGAACTACAAATCTACCGTAACAATAAAATTATATAATTAATATAATACATAATTAATATCCACAAATATTTGTGCATTAAATTTCGATGTAATTAATTAGATTAGAGAACAGGTACATAAAATTATTTTTGTTTCTATTAAATATTACATTTTTTTGTATATTCTATTAGCAATTGTCCAAGTGTGAGTCCAACTTTGTCCAACTTTGAGTCATTTAATACATATTGAGACGTTGTTGAGTGGGTCGGCTGATGTGTGTATGTGTGTACTTGGATCTGTTTGTATATACTGATATCTACTTCATAAGATCAGTCATTGACGTCAAAATGTTATAAGCTCTTTGTGTTAAAGATAATTTCCACAATGCAAAGTTATTTCCGTAATAAAAAAATTAGATTAAAGATTGATTGGAATAAAACAGTATAACACTAACAATAAGTGCATTTATTACTGAACATATTGCTTACTCATTGCTGGATAACCCTTGAAGTAGGGTGTTCAGTGCTCGAGGGAGGAGGTTTAGACACTACACGTTTGGTCTCACTAACACGGTGTGATTTTGTAACGCAGAATATATTTAACACATCTATATACACTATTTACAGTTTTTCCTTTCTCTCACAAAGGATATTCGCGATACGGCTTAAGCGAGTATCTTAACGTACGGCGAAGTACAAAGCGCGATGACTTCCGAAACTTGCGATAACGGAAAGCGATCTGAGCCAGGCGCGCGCTCGCGCTGGTTTTATACCGCCTTTCTGGAGACGGTTCTCGAAGCTCCTGTGTTGTACACGAGTCACATCGCTGTGACTCCCCTTGTTTTTGTTTCTATTAGTGGCATGGAAAAATGCGACTGCGAAGCGATCCCGGCGATCCGCCGTTGTCTCGGAGGTGACAACCCAAAACAGTGCCGGACCGTTATCTCGCTCAGTCAATTCCCATGCCAGTAATAAACATTGCATGAATATCGATGCCGGTATGAATTTTGCAGCGAAATCACAAATGAGGTGATATGATTATTCAAGACTTTGAACATGCCGCCCGCCTCGCTAGTGGCTACTAGCGAAATTGGTGGCGTTCGGCGCTGCGGTTTACGCTCTCGCCTCATTGCTCATTGGTGGTGTAATCAATGTAGTGATCGGTACGTCATGCAACGATACAAAGTGCAGTAGGACGCGGCAGTGGTGGCAGTGTGCACGAGATGCAGTGTGGTCGTGAGTTAAGTACGAGATGACACCCGAGTGACAGGTACAGAGAAGTTGGGGGAATCACACAGCCTGAAGCGAGCCTGGAATCAATCTCCTCTGTGCGAGGTGAGAGTGTAAAGTGAGGTTAGCTTTGTTTGCCTGAGATTACAGAACTGAATGAGACGAAGGTGAGAGAGCTTATGTATGATACGCTTGGTAGAGTTTGTTGCAGCACGATCCGTCGAGTGAAGGGGTTGCCTCGGAAGTCATCCCTCTTGCGCTGTGACGCTTGACGGCAGCAGGACGATCTTGGTTACCGGTCGCTTGAGGGAAGTGTTGGTTGTTCGTGCGGTTACCACACGGACTTCCCCGTCGCTTCCAGGATGGACCTCCGTGATGCGTGCCAACGGCCATTTCCCTGGGGGTGAGTTTTCTCCTTTGATAATGCATAGGTCCCCTATACCTGGTGCAATGTCCGTTCTCCACCATTTGGCTCGCGTTGCTATTGTGTGTAGATATTCGTGAGACCACCTGTGCCAAAAGTGGTCCCGCATTTGCTGGAGCAATTGCCATCTGGATAGCCGGCTCGGGGCGTGTTCCACCAAGGATGGCTCCGGCACAGCATTGAGTGGGGCGCCAATCAAGAAGTGTCCCGGGGTGAGTGCGTTCACGTCCTCGGGATCGTCCGATAGCGCCTGTAGTGGTCGTGAATTCAGGCACGCCTCTATTTGTGCCAGCACTGTACTCATTTCCTCGAAGGTGAGTGTAGAGTCGCCTATCACCCTTCGTAGGTGATGCTTTACAGACTTGACGGCTGCTTCCCACAGACCGCCAAAATGAGGAGCTGCCGGCGGGTTGAAGCACCACTGGACTCCATGGTTGGCCAGGGTATTGGCGATGTAAGCGTTGCCCTTCGCTGCATCTCGGAAGAGGGCCTTGAGCTGAGTGTCGGCCCCGACGAACGTGGTTCCTTGGTCACTGTAGACAGCCCGGCAGAGGCCACGGCGAGACACAAAGCGTCGGAAGGCGGCGAGGAAGGCGTCGGCACTGTAGTCTGAGACCACCTCAAGATGCACAGCTTTGGTACTGAAACACACAAAAATGGCAAGGAAAGCCTTGCACGATCGATGACCACGTCCCTTGCTTGTCCGGAGCTGCACGGGTCCAGCGTAATCCACGCCTGTGTGCGTGAATGGCCGCGATGCGGTGACTCTTGGGCCAGGAAGGTCGCCCATCAATGTTTTCGGTGTTGCCGCCCGCCATCGCACGCATCTCACACATCGGTGGATGTGTCGCCTGACGGCTGCTCGACCGCCTGGGATCCAATATCGCCGTCGGATTGTTCCCAGCGTGAGCTGGATCCCGCCGTGCATCGTCTCCCTGTGACACGCATCGATGAGCATGGCAGTGAAGCGTGCGGCTGCTGGCAAGATGACTGGGTGTCGCTCGTCCGGGCTCAGCAGCGAATGTTTGAGTCGCCCTCCCACGCGCAGGAGCCCCTTGTCGTCGATGAAGGGAGCCAGCTTGTTGAGAGGGCTGCGTCTGGGTAGTGGCTTCTCCCTCTCCATAGCCTTCCGTTCCCTCTTGAAGTGGGCTTCCTGAGTCGCCCGTATCCAGGTGAGGCGTGCCTCCTCCAGTTCTTCCGGTGTCAGGACACCGCTGGCGGAAACGAACGTTGTCTGTCTTATTTTGCAGAGCCATCGTCGGCACCAGGCTGTCACTCTGAGCAGCCTATGAAGTGACGAGATTCGCTGAAGCATGATGTGGTTATCCTCGGCTTCCTCGGTGGCGAGATGCACTAGGGTGCGTCGATCCGGGAGGTCCTCCTCGCAGGCGGTGAATTCTGTCCGGGTTGGCCAGGAAGTACGATCGGTCAGCCAGGCCGGGCCCCTCCACCATAGTGTGTGCGCGAGCAGCGCCGTGGGAGCTAGTCCTCGCGATGCGCAATCGGCGGGGTTGTCCTTGCTGGGAACGTGGCGCCAGATAGCCTCGGGAAGCGTCCGTTGGATGGTGGCGACCCTGTTTGCGACGAAGGTCTTCCATTTCGATGAGTGTCCGTGGATCCAGGCGAGAGCCACTGTCGAATCTGACCACAAGTGGGTGCTGGAGATGGCCAGGCCCGCCGTTTTATGGGTGTGCGCCGCCAGCTTGACCAGGAGAGCTGCAGCGCAAAGTTCAAGCCGTGGGAGTGATACCTGGCTGATGGGCGCGACCTTTGTTCGGGCCGTTAGGAGGAATTGTCCGCCGCCCGCCCTGCCAGGCTGCACCACGGCATAAACTGCGGCTGCGTATGCCCGCTCTGATGCGTCGGCGAAGCCATGCAGCTCGACTTCGCCGGTGTGGCTGGTGTTCAGCCAACGGGGCACGCGGATGTCACCCAGGGTCTGGAGTTCTCCTTGGAAGGTGAGCCACTCTCGTTCGTCCTTGCATGCTAGCTGATCGTCCCAGTCGAGCCGCTGCAACCACAGCTGCTGGATCAGAATTTTTGCCTTGATGACCACCGGGGCCAGCCACCCGAGAGGGTCGAACAGTCTAGCTGTCTGTGACAAGACCGTTCTCTTAGTGATGTGTCGTTGCAGGCGACATCCTGAAGGAGAAGGCGTCTTCTCGTGGATGCCACTGCAGTCCGAGGGTGGAGTGCTCCAGGTCCTGCCCCCAAGCAGGAGGGCACTGTCGGTGCTTGTGACTCACTGGGATGCCGTCCAATAGCGCTTCGGAGTTGGCAGCCCACTTGCTCAGTGGAAAGCCACCCGCTGCGCACAGAAAGATCAATTCTTCCTGTATCTCGCGAGTCTTCTCGATGCTGTCGGCTCCCGTCAAGATGTCGTCCACGTAGCAGCTGGATCGGAGCACGGCTGCTCCTAGCGGGTACCGTTTTTCCTCATCGGCAGCAAGCTGCTGCAGCGTCCGGATGGCAAGGTACGGTGCACATGCCAACCCGTAAGTGACTGTATTGAGTCGGTACTCTTGTAGTGACTGTATTGAGTTGGTACTCTTGTAGTGACTGGTTGTGGGTTTTTCTCCACAGGATTCGCTGTAGGTTGCGGTCGTCGGGATGCACCATGATTTGCCGGTACATTTTGGCTATGTCCGTGACCAGCACGAATTGATGTCGTCTCCACCTCGTCAGTACGTCCGGTAGAGCAGGCAACAAATTTGGGCCAGGAAGCAGGAACTCGTTCAGGGATTCTCCTGAAGGCAGTTTTGATGACCCGTTGAAGACCACCCGGATCTTTTTCGTTGAGTCGGTTTGTTTGAATACCCCGTGATGAGGTAAGTAGCATGCCTTAACATCGCTGAGTGGCGCTGCCGGAGTCATGTGGCCAAGTGCTTCGTACTCCTCCATGAACTCTGCGTACCTCTCGTGCAGTGCTGCGTCCTTTAGAAATCGCCTTTCCATACCAAGCTGCGTACACAGCGCTGTGCGTCGAGTGTGGCTTAGGTCTGGAAGTGTTGTAGACACTGGAAGCCGCACGACGTACCTCCCGTTCTCAGTCCTGGAATGTGTTTGCACGAAGAGTGTCTCGGCTCGCTGCTCATCCTCGGTGAGTGGGCTCGCTGTCCTAGGGGATTCCTCCTGCTCCCAAAACAAGCCGATCAGTGACGCGAGGTGCTTGTCGACGCAGCACTGGTGGGCCAGGGCAGGAAGTTGTTGTTGAGTGCCGTGTACAATCCCTGAGAGGATCCAGCCAAGCGCGGTCTGCTGTGCGATCGGCTGTTGCGGGCCGCCCTTCTTCAGGCCTTCCTGAATGATGAGGTGGAAGACGTCGGCTCCCAGGAGGAGATCCACGGGGTCGGAAGTGCCGAAGTCTGGGTCGGCCAGTGAGAGGCCCTGTACGTGTGCCCATTCGTGGCTCGCCGCCGACAGTCGAGCGCTGTAAGCCGATATGCGCGGCAGGACTAAGGTGTTCAGCGGCATGGAGAAGTTCGATGTCCTAGAGGAGAGGTGCACACTGACCTTGCCATTGGCCGTCGCTGTGCGACGTCCGCCCACACCGATGATCGAGACCGGCGCGGCACTCCGTGGCAGTCTGAGGCGTTGCGTCAAGGCCTCTGAAATGAGCGAGATCTCGGATCCAGAGTCGATGAGCGCTCGTGCTGACTGTTTAGTGCCATGACGGTCAGCGACGTTGACTCGTGCGGTGGCAAGGAGAACCGTGGTGCTCCTCATGCTTCGTCGTTGCGCGTGATGCGAAGTGGGGTTGTTGCCGGGCGAGCTGGCGATGTAGGCGTCGTGCGTCGATGAGTGGTGTCGCGCGTTGCACGCGGCACATGATTTTTTCGATTGGCACTCGGCGACTTGGTGCTTCCCGAAACAGTTGAAGCAAAGCTGCTTCGACTCCACGATTCCCTTCTTCTCTTTGGCCGACTTCTTTTGGAACTCGCTGCAGAAGAGGATGTAGTGGTCACCCTCGCAGAGTGCACAGCGACCGCCTTTCTTTGTCGGTTTTTGCGTCAAGTGCGATCGGGCGGACTTTGTCGTTGCACTGGTGCTCTTGCCTGAGGCTGGTAGTGTTGACTCGGCTTTGTGAGGTTGCAGGGCCTCCAATGTCCTCACTCGACGCTCCACGAAGCTCTTCAGGGTCTCGTACGACGGCGGCTCGGATGTTCCACTCACTTCCGTCTCCCACTCGCGGCGAGAACGCGGATCGAGGGTCTCTGTGACAAGATGTACAAAGAGGTCCGCGCTGTTGGCGATCGGGCGTCCGATGCTCTCCAAGGTTCCGACGGTACTCAGCATCCCATGGAAGAGGCGTTTAAGGTCACTAGTGAGTGAGTCAGTGGACTCACTCTTCATCTTTGGTATTGCCGTGAACGAGGCGAAGCAAGATCTCACCAGCAGGCGCTTGTTCTCATAGTGGTCGGTCAAGATGGTCCATGCTCCTTTAAAGTTCTCCTCTATTGTAGGTAGATTCGCGATGAGCTGTGCCGCTTCTCCTTTCACGCTTGTCTTCAGGTAGTGGAGCCTCTCCACCCCCGTCACGGAGGGATCAGCAGAGACAAGTGACTGGAATAGATCGCGAAAGGCGGGCCACTCGTCACATTTCCCGGAGAACGTCGGGAGTTGGATGCGAGGAAGCGTTCGCCTTGATTGCGGTGCGGCCTCAGTCGCCGTCTTCGCCGCGGACTCCTTTATTTCACGTATCATGTCTGTGATGGTGCCTCGTTGTGTTATGAAGATCTCTTCCACTGTTCCATAGTCTTTGTTTTGAATGTAATCCGTGTCCTTGATTGCCTCCCAGTGTTTAGTGTTTAGTGTCTCGTGATTTACTTCGAACCTTCGCCAGTTTTTTTCTACGACTTTCAGCCGTGACTCTAACAGCCCCACAGTTATCTTAGCGGACCCCGCTTTCTTCAAGTTCTCCCAGCTGCGCGCGAGAAGTAGCTGAAGCTCCGTCTGGGCGCGGATCAAGCCCTCAGCATCCATGCTCATCTTGGAGCGAAGGGACTCCGTGCACGGCACCACGAGACTACCAGTGATTGTTCGGACAAGCAATCCGGCTCGAAGGACCAGAATGTTCAGTGCTCGAGGGATGAGGTTTAGACACTACACGTTTGGTCTCACTAACACGGTGTGATTTTGTAATGCAGAATATATTTAACACATCTATATACACTATTTACAGTTTTTCCTTTCTCTCACAAAGGATATTCGCGATGCGGCTTAAGCGAGTATCTTAACGTACGGCGAAGTACAAAGCGCGATGACTTCCGAAACTTGCGATAACGGAAAGCGATCTGAGCCAGGCGCGCGCTCGCGCTGGTTTTATACCGCCTTTCTGGAGACGGTTCTCGAAGCTCCTGTGTTGTACACGAGTCACATCGCTGTGACTCCCCTGGTTTTGTTTCTATTAGTGGCATGGAAAAATGCGACTGCGAAGCGATCCCGGCGATCCGCCGTTGTCTCGGAGGTGACAACCCAAAACAGTGCCGGACCGTTATCTCGCTCAGTCAATTCCCATGCCAGTAATAAACATCGCATGAATATCGATGCCGGTATGAATTTTGCAGCGAAATCACAAATGAGGTGATATGATTATTCAAGACTTTGAACATAGGGTCAAGTACTTCTTTTATGTTCGAAATAATGTCAGCGATGAGTTCGCGTCTGTAATTTCATTTCAAGTTGGTAGGAACATTTATAATTTAATAACAATTGCAATATTTCACATCAATTGACGTTCGATGATTAGCCTAATTAAATCCTGTCTTTTTAAAAAATTAAATAAATTGAGTTTAAAAATCTCGCTGAATAATCGGTTTTATATAGAAATCTCTTCATGGGAAATAGTTCCGAGAAGAGTTTTTACTACGCAGATCCACATTGACGCTCAAACAAAATGGTGGATTCTTTAATTCTTATTTCTAAACAGAGACTATGAGATGTTTGTAATGAACGATGTAGCATATAATCACAATAGAGAAAGTATACATACTGTTTGATTTTCGAGGTTTAATTGTATTCTTCTTATCTTTGGAAAATGCGACGAATGTCTGCATTTAATCGTCTCGTCTCGTTGATTGTGATAATGTAAAATTTATTACTGATATAACGTTCTATAATGCTATAACAAGCTCGTACGTCTTGTCTCGTCAAAATTTCGTAGGCAACTGCCGTCGTTCGTTCGCATGAGCGACTGTTTCGCCACAATTGGCGCCACTGTGATAGTATCGAATCTGTATCGATCAAATCGATTCTCGATCGGTTGATAATTCCAACACAGTTGAAAAATTTGTGTTAAATTTAACAGATATCACATGTCCCAAACGGTCCACACAAATTTTTGTGTTAATTTAACATAATATGGATATGTTAAAGGATCACACTAATAATCTGTTAATATTTTAACACAAAATAAATGCAAATCTCAAAATCATTTAACATAAATTTTGTGTAAATTTAACATATTTTTAATGACAAAATGAATTTAAAAAATGTGATTTTCACATTTCATAATAAATAGGAATGTATCTTCGGGGAGGTAGGCACTAACAATAAGTGCACGCCACTTATTTTTCGGCGAGAAAAGTAACGGGCTAGGATTCGAACCTAGGACCTTCAGCTTGCCAGGCGAGTGCTCTTCCAACTGATCTATCCAGGCCCAGATGTAATAAGCCAAATGGTCCGAGATCACTCTCTTATGTTATATAGAATAAAATCAACATTTCATTCTGTACATTTTAACAGATAAATCTTGTTACTAATAATATAGAACATATGTATTGTGTAAGATTACAAAATAAGTACACATTGTGTTGTTTTAACATTTCTTTTCAGTTATTTTAATAATTTTACATTTAAGGTCAATTAACATAAGAGCAATCTGTTAAATTAACACATGAATGTGTTAACCATTTAACACAAAAATTTTAACGGGCATTTCTTTTAACAAGAAAACACAAATTTTCCAACTGTGAACACATACGATTACGCCGACAACATTAAAACTCAAAATTTTGTAATCGTAACCTTCCTCGTTAACACAACAGCATTTCTACTGAAAAATTCACCAACATTCATCAAAGAAACATCAATTATGAACGATAAACAGCTAATTTGTTTTAATCTTGACTGTAGGGGGCAGTCGGTAAGCGATGTCCTTCGTGTTCTAGTATTAGTTACTGGCCCCGCCGATAGTGCGAGAAAGCGCTTTAGAGAGAGAGAGAGAAGTTCCGTATAACCAGTATGAGTATGACCGCGTCTGCATTCATGTGTACAAGCAGATAGCAATAAAGAACATTTCAAGTTACAAGTATCGAGTTGGTTTTTCGAGTGACCTCAAACATTGGTCCAATCGAGCCGGATTGAGATCGACAAGGTCAATCGAGGTGAAATACAGTCCACAAAGTACGAACGATTACGGTCGAAGGAAGCAAGATTACTCTAGAAAGCCGTTCGAGAAAGGTTATGGCGGACATCGCGAAGCTTCGCAGGCGACGAGCAACCATCAAGGCAAAGATGACGAGGCTCAAGTCAAAGGCCGAGCAAGGGCTGGAAGACAACGTGAGCAGAGAAGAGATGGAAACCTACCTTTCGAGGTTAGAGGAGATACAACGCGAGTTCGAAAATGTGCAAGACGAAATCAATGATACCGCGGAGGGAGAGCCCACTGACGCGGAGGCCTTTGAGGAGACAGTGTTCGAAGAAAGGTATTTCGAGTTGAAAACCAAGATGAAGCGATGGTTAAACGCGTTGCCAGCACAACAAGGTGAGTCGCGTTCGAGTGACGAAATGCTGTCGAATATGCTGTTACAACAGGGCGAGATCATACGGCAGATGAGTCAGCGAGGCGACGGGGCAACGGCGAACAATGGTGACGCAATCGAAAGGTTGTTCGAGCAACAGACGCAGCTAATCCGCAGTATCGCAAGCGGAAGTGGCGCGACTAATCAAGAGACGAGGGTGAAGCTGCCGGTGGTGAGGCTTCCAACGTTCGATGGCCGAGTGGAAGATTGGAAGCGATTTTCCGAGACATTCCAGTCAATGATTCATGCGAATGAAAGTATCCCGAACATTCAAAAGTTCCAGTATTTGGTTACGTCATTAAGTGGCACAGCGGCCAAGATAATTGAGGCAATCGAGCTAACCGACGCGAATTATGTGATCGCGTGGGAGTTACTGAAGAAAAGATTCGACGATCCAAGAGCCATAAAAAAGAAGCATATCCAGTGCCTTTTTACGATGCCGAAGGTAGAAAGGGAATCAGCTGCAGCAATTCGAAGTTTGCTAGATTATACTTCGAAGCACTTGCGGGTGCTCAAATCCTTGAACCTGCCGACGGATTCCTGGAATGAGCTCGTGATTCATATGATGGAAGCGAAGCTGGATGCGACTACGCTACGAGCATGGGAGCAGAGTCCAACCGCGACGGATGCGACTCTAACAAATTTTAATGATTTTCTGGAAAGAAGATGTCAAACATTAGAAAGAATCGAAGCACGAAACAAGGAGGGGGTGCGCAAGGCCGAACCCGACAAACAAAAAACGAAGATTGGAGTTCGCGAGAAACACGGCGTTGGCTAGCATCGCCGAAGCTGGGAAATGTTATCTGTGCCACGGAGACCATCTATTATATCGATGTGAAAAATTCTTGGCGTTGTCAATGGACGATCGAGTGAAGGAAGTCCGTCGGCTGAAACTTTGCATGAACTGTTTACGTCACGGACACTTTGCGCAGGCATGCAAGATGGGATCGTGTCGTGAATGTTCGGAGAGGCACAATACATTGTGCCACCGCCCGGTTGCCGACGGAAAGGCTCCAGAGGAAGGCGGCAAGGTCGAGCAGACGGCTTCAGCAGCGAGCGACAAGACGAGCAGCAGCATAGGCACTCATCACGTGACGAGAGATCCAACGAGGAAGCTAGTGCTCATGGCAACAGCACTGGTTAACGCAACGCATCCCAACGGAGCCATCGTGCCACTACATATCCTTTTAGACAGCGCTAGCGAGGCGCACTTTATTACTCAGGCGACTTGTAATAGGTTAGGGGTAAGGCGCGATAAGGTTTTTGAGATGGTCACGGGAATTAACGAGAACGAAAGCATTGTAAATCAGTGTTGCGAGGTTGTAATTCGATCGAGATGTTCCGATGCGAGCGCAGTGGTTCGTGGATTTGTAGTACCGAGGATCACTAAACATTTGCCTTCTGTGGAAATGAATCGAGACACGTTGCCTATTCCGTCTAATGTAATGCTAGCAGATCCAGAATTTTACAAACGGGTCCGATTGACATGTTAATCGGGGCAGAATTCTTTTTCGCCTGGCTAGAAGCGGAAAGACTCGAGCTGGGAGCGAATCTTCCGGTGCTACAAAACACAAAATTCGGTTGGATAGTTGCGGGATCTTTTGCGCGCGCACCTACAGCGTTATTGATAGGTAGGCAAGATGCGGTTGCGACTTTGACTTGCTCGTTGGAACATTGCGAGGCATTTGATCAGAGTATTCGAAAGTTCTGGGAGCTTGAGAGCTCAGGAACGAACGGGATCACACCTCGATCGGAGGAGGTCTGCGAGAGTGACGAGTTTTTCAAGGAAACGACTACGCGCTCCGAGGATGGTCGATTTATAGTGCGCCTCCCGTTCAACGAGGATCCAGCGGCGTTAGGCGAGTCCAGGGAGGTTGCAAGGAGGCGATTGATGCAACTAGAGCGGCGTTTCAAGAACGACGAAACATTGCGTACCAGATACGTTGAGTTTATGCGAGATTATTTAGATATGGGACACATGTCGCCAGTAGTCGATACAGAGCAAGCACCGGCTTGCCGGGTAACTTATTTACCCCACCACGGCGTAATTAAAGAAGCGAGTACGAGTACAAAACTCCGCGCGGTATTCGATGCGTCTAGTAAAACTAGCTCAGGGAAGTCACTTAATGATATTCTCCGTGCGGGGCCAGTAATCCAAGGTAGTTTACTTGAAATTATCATTCGATTCCGATTTTACAACGTCGCCTTGACCGGGGACATTCGAAAAATGTACCGGCAGGTGCTCGTGCATCAAGACGACCGAGATTATCAGCGTATACTCTGGAGATTCGATGTAGACGAACCCGTTCAGGCTTTTCGTTTAAATACGGTTACTTATGGGCAGGCTAGTTCCACTTATTTAGCGACTAGGTGTATATACGAATTGGCTTTGGAGGCACAGCACAACTTTCCGATGGCATCGCGTGCATTGATGGAGCAGATGTATGTGGACGACATATTGACCGGTGCGAGGAATATCGAGGATGCGACGCTGTTGCAGGAACAAATTGCTAAGGTACTGCTGACCGGAGGATTCGAGACGCACAAGTGGTGCTCGATATGCTCGAGATGCGTCGATTCGTTCAAGCTCAAGTGGAAGGAAATACAGGAAGGGCGTTAGTCGAGGATGGAATCGAGTGGAAGTTTATACCCCCTTCCTCCCCGCACATGGGTGGTCTCTGGGAGGCTGGGATAAGGTCCTGCAAACATCACTTGAAATGCGTCATGGGCAACGTATTGTTTACGTTTGAGGAGCTCTCTACGGTACTGACACAGGTGGAGGCGTGCCTTAATTCCAGGCCTTTGACACCCTTATCATCCGATCCTGCTGATCTCCAGCCGTTAACCCCGGCACATTTCTTGATAGGGGATTCGATGACTAGCATTCCGGATGCCGACATAACAGATATTCAAACCAATAGACTGGATCGCTGGCGTTTGGTGCAACGAGTACTACAGGACTTCTGGAAACGGTGGGCGGTGGAGTACGTCGCCGGCTTGCAGAGTCGAGGGAAGTGGAAGAAGAAGCAGAGTAATCTTCAAATCGGAGATTTAGTGATTATTCGCGATGAAATTCTTCCTCCTTTGAGATGGAAGTTAGGTCGGGTCGTGGAACTGTACCCGGGTCGCGATAGCTTGGTTCGCGTCGTAATGGTTCGAACCGCAAATGGTTGTTTTAAGCGAGCTATAACTAAGTTGTGCAAGCTTCCGGTTCATTCGGACGAAGAGCAGAAAAATTAGAGCGTCTAATTTTGGTGGGCGGTATGTAGGGGGCAGTCGGTAAGCGTTGTCCTTCCTAGTATTAGTTACTGGCCCCGCCGATAGTGCGAGAAAGCGCTTTAGAGAGAGAGAGAGAGAGAGAAGTTCCGTATAACCAGTATGAGTATGACCGCGTCTGCATTCATGTGTACAAGCAGATAGCAATAAAGAACATTTCAAGTTACAAGTATCGAGTTGGTTTTTCGAGTGACCTCAAACATTGACAAATAAAATTGTATAATAGAACTCACGTGTGTGGGAGTAATGACTATAACAATTGCTAGCCATTTTTTAAATCAGTTAAGGGGATGCTGGAGTGACTACTATACCGACACTTTTTTCTATTAGAATAACTTTTAATTGGCTTTACAGAATTGAAAAATTCTTGCGCAGAATGAAAGTACGCACAAAAATGAAGAGAGAGCTGGTCGTCTTCATACCAGAAACAAAACAAAAATAATTAGAATTGTCACTTGACGAGAATATTTGCTTATTACAACAATTCTACAGTTCATAGGTACAAAATGACACCAGAGCTCTCTAGGGACAACATTTCCGAACAATATCGTGCAATTAGAAGTAGGATTGAAGGCCTAGAAAAAAAGTTATTCTAATAGAAAAAAGTTGTACATGAAAATTTAGATGCAGTATAATACAAGGAGCCATATTGCGTTAGTACCCAAGGAGCGCCAATGCACGTATAATGCGCTCTAAATGTGCATTAAAATTCGCATTAAATGCGAATTGTACATGCACATTTAAAGCGCATATTTGTCCCGCATTAAATGTACATTTAATGTACATTAATTAATGCGTATTCCCGAGTAGAAATTTCGTTCGGTTTACATCGGGAAAGTATCGGGCAAACCCAACCTAAACATCGGGAACTGATAATGTTCACCCGGTGATGAACTTATCTCAGCGTAACGCAGCTACCCGATCAAAAACTTATCACGAGACACGGTAGTGTCTCGCGCCAAGTGTAAGCGTAGCTAGTACACGCGTGCGAGACCGACCGTGTAAGTTTACGCGAGTACACGAGTTGACGGGCCCTCAGATTTTAGGATCTCAACAACGGTTGATCCGACGAAATTGAGACTGCGCTTAATCGATAGCTTGGGTACGATTTGCATAATAAAAGTGTTTTTACTTTTCTCCTACGTGCCCCAGGAGTGGAGGTATTGCAATGCAAAAGTCAGATTTGTTAAATTTTGGATTAAGAAACGTCTTTGTCGTCTTCGTCCCGGTCGTCGTCGTCGTCGTCGTCGACCAGAACAGCATTTTCACTTGACTTTTCACTTCACTTGACCACTTTACAAATGACCACGTCCCGATTGACCACTTTGCAAATGACCGCGGTCCCGATTGACCACGTTGCAATTGACCACGGTCCCGATTGACCACGTTGCTATTGACCACGATCCCGATCGACCACGTTGCAATTGACCACGGTCACGATCGACCACGTTGCACTTGACCACGCTCCCGATCGGCCACGTTGCAATTGACCACGGTCCCGATTGACCACGTTGCAATTGACCACTGTCCCGTTTGATCACGAGCTAAAGCACACAACCACACCCGCACACACCCATACACCCCCTCACCCCCCTCGCCACCCGCGCCCCACACCCCCTCCCC